CCACACACACCGCACGCACGTGCTCCCAAGGCTCCAAGGGACACCGAGACGCGGGCTTCCAGATACACAATACCTCAGCAGTACCACACACAACTCAGACCCACCTACAGACTAGACAGATGCAAGCAGACAAATGGACATATTTACAGACATGGTCTGGCCAGACAGTCACACCCAGCACAGAGAGGCATGAACAAGCCATAGTCGGACATTCATAAACACACTGGTGCAGAGACACGCTGACAGAACTTGTTGGCTAGCACACGTGCGCACACACACACACACACACACACACAGCCACAGAGCTCACATAGACCAGCCACACACACGCACACACACACACAACCACAGAGCTCACATAAATATACAGACCAGCCACAGACCACACACACACACACACACACACACACACACACACACACACCTCACACAGGCAAGCTGTGAACCCCCCCACACACCAAACACAAAACAACAAATGCATATGGGTCAGCCACACGCAGCCTGTTCCCTAAACCGTGTGCACACACTCACCCATCTCCCGCCCCCTAAAGCAGAAGGCCCTCCACACCCCTGCAGGGTTGAGCCAACACACAGACACACGCACTGAGGAGACAGGCCTCACACACACTCTCACACGCCCTGACAGGCCAGCCACATGCAAACCCACAGCCGACCAGACACACACGCTCTCCTGGACCAGGCAGAGTGCTGTGGGGCTCTGTGCTTCCCAGGCTATTTCTGTGCCCCCCATCCCCCCATCCCGGTTCTTCCTCTCTCCAAACATTACCCCCCCCCCAAACTTCCCTCCCTGCTGTTTGTCACTTCCCTTAGGAGGCCCAGCTCATCAGCCTCAGTCCTTGGTGGGGTGTGGGCTTACTTTCTCACCACATCCCCTGTAAAGGGGACACCCAGGATGTCAGCCATGCTCAGGCCCCCCAAGACCTCTCCAGCAGTGGGGAGGGGGGCAGAAGTAGTTTTGTAGGAAACTCCCCTCATGCCCAGCTGAGTCAATCTGAGGAGACAGACTCTCCTTCCTGCTTCCAAGAAAACCCAGAAGCTTCCTCTCCAGGAGAGGGGGTGAGGGACCCCCAAACCGCAGAGGTAGGGGAAAGAGGTGGCTGGCAGGCCAGGGGTTCCTGGGGGAGGGCCTCGGTGATTCTCAGCCTCTTCCTGCCCAGCTGTCTGTCCACACCCAGGGGCAGGGACGCGGGAGGCTGGGTGCTATGACTTGTGGGTTCTCGCCCTGGCCTGCCCATTTGGCTGACTCACGGGCAGCCCCCAGCCCAGTTTCCTGGTGAGGGCCCGGTCGGTCTGTGGGGCTGGGGCAAGGGGGTCACCAGGCTATTTATAAGAAGGAGAAGTCCCTCAAGGCCAAAAGCCCCAGAGAGACCTGTGGGTGGGGGTGGGTGAACTTCCTCCTTATTCCTCTCCTCAGGCCCCGGGCCCCTGGGCGTTGGAGAAGTCTGGGCCCAGACTCCTTAGCCAGATGCTGATCTGAGGCCCAGGGGCTGGGCAGTACCCAGCTGCTGGTTTGGGCACCCGGGCTGGGTGGGGGAGGGGGCTCTCCTTACACCCTCCTCACAGCCGGCCTTGGCGCCAGCAGGGCGGCGTGAGGGGGTGGTGCCCAGGCCACAAGGGTGAGACTGGCAGGGGCCTGGAACCGGCTGTACCAGCTCGGCTGGGCCCCCGCCCTCCTTTGGCGGCCCAGTCCCCACCTCCTGCTCAAACACCCATGCGGAGTACAGGAGCAACCGGACCCCACTTCAGCAAGCTAGCCGCTCCCACCCCGACCCCCACCCCTCTGCCCTGTGCCCAGACCACTCCACTCCTCTGCCTCCTCTACGGATTAAAATTAGACCCTGCAGGAAGGGGCCTGCAGACCTTGACATACACTTGGTACAGCATAAATGCCTCTCAGGTTATGAAAATCCACAAGACAGTGGCCAATACGCTGAACTGGACAGCTCCGGCATATTCTGACTCTAGTACTTGTAGTCAGGGGATACGGGGCAAGTTCCTTACCTCAGCAAGTCTCAGTTGTCTTGTCTGTTACATGGGGATACACGCAAGCATTTCGTTGGGTGGTTGGAAGCAGGCAATGAGTTACTCTGTGTAAACCGCTTAGAAGAGGGCCTAGCTCATGGTTAGAGCCATGTAAGTGTTAGCTATTAAAATAATAATTATTATTTCTCAGTCTGTCTGCCTATCTTAAGTGTCTCTGAGTCTCACTGTTAGTCTGCATGACTCTAACCCTGCCCCC